CCCCAGCTCTCCCAGCCTGGCTCCACGGGCCGTGTCACCCTGGGCAGTTTTTATTCCATGAAAAGGATCCATAAAGGTCTATTGGATGCTGCCTCCCTGCCCTGTCCACTCCCCACCCCACAGAGATGCCCCTTACCCCAAAATCTCTGCTCGGAGCCCCCTCCCCTCCCTGTTCCCATCCCAACCCTGATCCCCCTTTCCACACCCCCAACCGCGATCCCGCTTTTCTCACTCTCCATCCCTAATCCCGCTTTTCCCACTCTCCATCCCTAATCTCCTCGTCCCCATCCTTCATCCCCTCTTCACTCCGCCATCCCTGACTTCCACTCTCCCTATTCCCGACACACACCCCCAGTCCCCGATTCCCCCTTTTCCCCTCCCCATTCCCGATGCCCCCGTGTCCATCCCGGTCCCCTCACACGGCCGGTCCCCGACCCCCGTGTCACCGCCGCTCCCTGGCGCGCTGTGCCCGTCCCCGGGCGGCTGTGGCGCACCTCCATGGCCTGCCCCAGCTCCAGGTCGAAGGTCACCACACACACGCAGTCGATCCACGCGGCGAAGCGGCCCCAGGGCAGGGGCGAGGCGGCGGCGGCGGCGCGGCGGGGCCGGGGCCCGGCCCGGCTCAGCGCGTCCATGGCGGCGCCGGCCCCGCGCCGCGCCCCCTGCCGGCGGGGAGGACCCTGCGCCGCGCCCCCTGCCGGCGGGGAGGACCCCGCGCCGCGCCCCCTGCCGGCCTGGAGGTCCCGAGCGCGCCGCTCTTACCATCGAGACGGGAGCGGCTGCGCAGAGCGGCGCGGGCGGGGCCGGGAGGTGTCATGGCGGCGGCGGCGGTGTGAGGGCTCCGCGGGGCTCGGGGCTGTTGAACCCACGGCGGCTTCACCGCTCGGCGTCTGACCCCTGTGTGTGCCGGCGAGGGCCTGTCAAACCCCCGTGTGTGCCGGCCGGGGTTTGTGGGACCCCCCGTGTGTTCCGGCCGGGGTTTGTTGGATCCCCGTGTGTTCCCGCCGGGGTTTTGTGGGATCCCCGTGTGTGCCGGCCCGAGTCTCCGTTCGCCGCCCCCATCTCCGTCCCGCGTGGCCGATTTTAGGAGCGCTCCAAACACCGTTTTAGGAAAAAAGACACCGTTTATTCCCTGCCAGCCGTGAGGAGGAGATTTCCACAAAGCGAGCTCGCGAAGGGGTAAAAAAATGAAATTTTTTCTACAGGAGAATTTTCACAAACTCGCCCCGGCGTTACTCACATTCTCCACCTGCCTAACGCACAGCTAGTTGTGTGACCTAGCCTGACCCAGTTGAAAATTGACTTTCGCTTGAAAGAGAGTTCTTTTATTAAGCGAATTCTATTGTAGACGTTACCTGACGCCTCAGTTACGTTTCCGAAGGTGAGAAAATGACATTAATTCCTTTTGGAGGAGTTTACCCTGGGAATAGGAATTCAGCGGGGAGCCCCGGGGCGGTGCCAGGGCCGGGAGCTGGCCCGGGGGCAGAGGGCAAAGCGTGACCCGGGATTGTTTTATGTGATTTTTGTGGGATTACCGGCACGTGAATACAATGCATGAGCTGCTTCCTGCTCAGGGACATCTGGGAAATGGGAAATACCGGGGATAAATCACAGATTTATGGCAGATTTGCTGAGGAGCACCTTGGCAATTTGGGGGTTATTTATTGCCAGGGTCAGGCCCGGAGCAGAGGAGGAGTAAAGAGAAAGTGTGAGAAGGGCCTTGAGGTCCCTTCCAGCTGAACCATTCCGTGATTGCAGAGTGCCCAGAGGTGTCCAGGTGACACCGAGTGTCCCCCCAGGCACCCCGAGTGTGTGGTGACACAGCAGCTCCTGCCAGGAGCTGTTTTCCACAGGAATTCCATGGATGGCCAGGCTGCTGTGCTCCCCCAAGGCTTTAGTTATTTATTTGTGGCATTTCTTTAGTTCCCCCCGTGCTCTTTGTTCCATTTCAGCCCTTTAATGTCCTTGTCCCGCCCCTGTCGAAGTCCCCTGCTCCAGGACCAGAGGAGCTGCACTTAAACACTGCCTTGTGCCATTAACTGCTAATTAATGCTGATTATGATATTACAGACTTGTAATAAAGCCTGCAACACTACATTTACACTTGCCACACTTGGAGCTGATTTTTGCCAGACAAGGGACAGGAGGAAAGTACAAGAAAAATATGAATAAAAAACAATTGGGCATTTTTTTCCTCAGTAACTCTTTGTCCCACAATAAAAGTCAGTTTTAGTCTTGTCCCAGGGGTCTCCCATGGCTGATTTCACTGCAGCCACACGAACATTCCTGCTTGGCCAGGCAGAAAAAAAATAACTGTGAATAAAAAGGACAATAAAGGCGCTTAGAACATCTGAGAAGTATAAAAGTGAGGGCTGGAGGGTTTCTATTAGAATGGAAGCACAGCCCTGTACCTGAGCAGGGAAGTGTTGGGGCAGAAGGTTACACCCAGTATCCTCATTCCTTCCCAGAGAATTTCCCAGAGTCACCAGGCAGGACAGGCAAGTGTTGGAATCACAGAACCAGGGAATCCTGGAATGGTTTGGG